CCCTAAACCCTAAACCCTTCATAGGACACCCAAAAAGGAGCCCTTAAAAAGGACACCCCCAAAAGGAGCCCTTAAAGGCCCACCGCCCCGGACCCAGGCGACTCCGCTGGCCTTTAAGACCTTCGGGAGCTTCGCGCGGCAGCTCGTGAGCTCCTTAAAGGATCCTTTCAGTGTTTAGGGTTTAGGGTTTAGGGTTTAGGGTTTAGGGGTTGAGGGTTGAGGGTCCAGGGTTTGCGGTTTAGGGTCTAGGGTTTAGGGTTTAGGGTCTAGGGTTTGGGGTCTAGGGTCTTGGGTTTAGGATTTAGGGTCTAGGGTTTAGGGTCTAGGGTTTTGGGTTTATGGTTTGGGGCTTAAGGGAGCCCTTTCAGGGATCCTTTTGAAAGGGATTTAGAGGGTTTAGGGTTTATAGGGTTTAAGGTTCAGGATTCCATTAAGGATTTCCTTACACGATCCCTCAAGGGATCCCCTTCAGGGATCGTTAAAGGGTTCCTGTAGGACCTTTTAAGATTCTGCAGGCTTTCTGTTAAGGGATCCTTTAAGGGACCTCTTAACGGAGCCAGGGTTTAGGGATGTTTAGGGATTTACGGCTTGGGGTTAAGGGATCCCGCAAAAAGGAGCGTAACGGAGATTTCGAGAGCCCATTGAGATGGAGTTTATAGATACTTTTCCAGGCTTTTTATCGAGTTTTAGGTAAAAAGCGGGCTTTACCCGATGCTACAAGAGTTGGCTAGGCTTCTATACCTCTTTTTCAAGATTTGTTTGCGACGTTTTCTGTAGGGCTGTATAGGGTTTTTCATACAGCTATTCTGATTCTCATGGTCCCTTTGTCATAGAAGCCCCGTATTATGCAAGGTCTCGGGTGTGGACCCGTTTAAGCCCATTGCGGTACTGATAGCTCTACCTACTGCTGGTAAGTCCCATGACCGTCCAAGGAGATACGGATCCGACTATTTGGGGTCTTTATTCATGGGTCCTGCTGTTCGGAAGCTCCCGATATAGTTCAGCTAGAAAGTCCTAGCATTTTCGCTTCTTATCACATCTCTTCGGACCTTCGGACGTTGAACAGCAGAGTACGCCGGCTTAGGCGTCAAATCATTGTGCCTACCGTACCTGTATGATACTATTTGGGCACATAGACCCTTAAACCCTAAAACCTCAACCCTAAACCCTAAAATCTAGACCCTAAAACCCTAAACCCTAAACCTTAAACCCTAGACTCTAAACCCTAAAGCCTAAACCCTCAAACCCTAAACCCTAAACCCCTAAACCCCTAAACGCTAAACCTGAACCCGAAGAGTTAAACCCCCTTCCGAGGCCGAGCGTCCCAGTGGCGAGGGCCGTGCTCTCGCACTGAAGAGCGCGCCGCAGATGCACGGCGCCCTAAATAAAGGCTTTGAGGTTCAAGGGCTTTGGGTTTAAGGCTTTGGGGTTTAGGGCTTTAGGCTTTAGGGTTTAGGGTTTAGGGTTTGGGGTTTAGGGCTTTAGGCCTTGGGGTTCAGGATTTAGGGTTCAGGGTTCAGGCGTGGGTTTTGATGAGGGCTGAGTTGGGTTGGGTTCGTGAAAGGTCCCCCACCCTTGCACTAGACCCTAGACCTTAAACTCGAAGTACCCTGCACCCTAAGCTAATACTATTTTTGGCCTCCTTATTTCACTCATGGTACATCAGACCCCCAAACCTTACTTGAGTTGTAAAGGCCCCTGTATTAGATATTCACATTCCCGGAGGTTACAGAGCCTACTTGTTGTTGGGAGTTTCATGGTTGCATGTGCTCTCGGAGTCACGTGCCTGCAGGGTTTAGGGTTTAGCGTGACGTGGGTGAGTCGGGCGACGGGGACATGATGAAAGGCTTTCAAGCACGTGAAATTTGAGAGGTTGCCAGATCATGTGGGGAATGTGTGCAAGCTTTGAAAGTCATGTCATGGCGCTTTGTGTGTCATTTCGGCGACCCAAATCCCGAAGGTGCCCTCAACCTCAACCCTCAACCCTGAAACTGCAACCCTAAATCCTAGACCCTAAACC